TTTAATAATTAAGACTTAATTAACTTTTTTTAGGCTTAACTAGTAAAGCTAGTAGACTTATTAAGTACTAGTAAGTTTAGTAAATATAAAAAAAAATATTTTAACTTAGCTTATATACTAGAGAAAATTTAGAAACTTTTTAACTTAGTATAAAAAAAAAAGAAAGAAAAAGAGTAGTAGTAAGAGTATATAACTATAGGTGCTTTTATAGAACTAGGTTCTGGCTCTTAGCTAAAACGGGGATGTAGAGAGCACACACGTCAGATCGCAGCATTGTTATGCCAAGCCGGGGCCCAGAGGATAATGTACGCACTGTGGTTGGCTGGGAGCCGCGAATATGATGCGCGATGTGCGGGAGTTTAGTAGCAGCGATCTAGGCCGATTTTTGAAAGCTGAAATGTGGAGTTGGGGGCTGTTGGTTGGCGAGATGCGTGGGTGTTATACCTCGAGACCTCATCACGAGGGGAAAGCTTATCGCACTAGGTCGCCATACTTGCCAGGAGTGGATTGGGGAGTTTGTCATTCTGGTGGGTGGGGGAGTCGTCTTTGCAGAGAGAAGAGGCATGCAGCAAGCACGTCTTTGCAGTAAACAACATGCGCATCCCACGCCTGTGTCACGATACTCGATGTCGACAAACCCCCGTTCGGCGTCCAGCAGCAACGCGCAAGCAAGTAAAGTGGGTCTCTGTGTATCGTCAATCGAAAGCAGGGGGTGTCATGTACAGCCGCTGGCCGTGGCAAACGAACGTGAAACGAACTACGGTATTACAAGACGCATGCTTGCGCAGTCTCAGCTTGTCCGCTTTGACGCGCGAAGGAAGCGTTTGAGATTGATGCATGAGTGGCCGAGAACGGGTTGGAGGGGTTGTTCAGGGTAAGCGCAAGCGAGCCCCGGCGCGGGACTCGCATGACGAAGATGGAGTGACGGCTGTCATCATGACAGATTTTGGGTATCAAGCGAACGGCGGGTAGTAGGTAGATCTGCCTTGGGGCGAATGAGAGGCGTAGGAGGCAGAGTTGCATGAATTGGAATAGGCCACGGTACGAGGAATCTGGATGTTCCAAGTTGCCCTTGGAAAAGCCACACCACCTGGGCAGCATACCTAGGTAGATTCACTTTATTCTTCGCAGTAATGTGCCATCAGAATGCACAAAGGTATACACATCCAGGCTTTTGTCAGCCTAGAAAGAACAAGCTTCAGCATAAAGGGCCGGGTCTTGCATGTGTTGCATTTTGCAGATAGCCGCTTGTACAAGGCCAAGCTAGAAAAATAGAAACCACCACACCTCATCAAAAACCAACAAAGATGCAGACGCACACCAAAACGGATCCGCAGCCTATCCAATCCCGCTACACCGCTCTGGCCGTTGAATTGGTCCCATGATCCAGGTCCGTTTGTGTGCAGTCTTGTTGGCCCTCAAGCGTCTTATCTCTATTGCGGCCCCCAGCCAATGGCCATCGCATACACTTGTCTTCGCAGCTGAAGCACCGCGGACCAGGGGGGGTCAAAAAGGTGAGCTCAGGGTGGGCCTGTGAAGATCGTCGTCGCAGCCGGGCAGCGCCTCGACTCCTGCGCTTCGCTCCCACCCGCACGTACGCAACCAAGAAAGTGCACGGAATGTACCATGACATGGCTTGTGCGTTTGTGTTGGACCCGCTTCGTGCGAAAGAAAGACCCCGTTAACGCGGGAAATCGTGTGTCTGAAAGGATCTGTGTTATAGGTGTCTTGGCTTGTAAGCCAATACTTTAACGCACGTTTTCCCACTTGTTCGCGATCTGGATTTTTTGGTTGTCTGGCTCTTGCTTCTAGCCTCTCGTAACCTTTCCACATCTACGTACCCAATTCCCGCCGCACTTTGCACCTTACTTCATTTAATTACTCTGTCTTCCCTTTCCTGGCTGGTCCGCCCACGTGTTTGACATACGCTTGTATATGTAATCGAATTTCGGAAAGCATTGAGCCTCGGGTCATACTATAAGAAGGATGCGTCGCCAACTTCCTCCAAGCCATCTCAAGGTTCCGCCGGGTCCGCATGCGTTTCCAAGACAACAACACTTTCTGGGTCAGGATACAGTTGTCGTGAACCATTACTCGGGGTTTGAAAAGGCGATTCCCGCGATACCGTCTTTACCGGGATTTAGGACCAGTGCTGGTATGTTTGGCTCTATTTGGTTTTCTTGGGGATGGTCGTGTGCTCGGTTGCCGCGACTGGGGTTGTGATGTCAACCATGCAGCGACTTCGACGCGCGAGATTTTTGGGTATGAATACGAGCTAACGCGCAACAACAGCATTCTTGACGTCGCTGAGCGCGAACCTCAGGATTGATCCAGATCTACCATCGCCGCTACCCACACCAACCTCGTTCCGATTGAACAACTTCGTCCAAGAACTTCCCTCTACATCGCTGTCCTACTCAACGCTGCCTGCACAGTACAACCCGTACCCTTCGCCTGCCGAATCCCAAGCCATGTCGTCGACCGAACCGAACGCGCCGGCCAAGTCGCCTACGGATGGATTGCCGCAACTCTCTACCTACACTGCTGAGACAGAGGAGGACCGAATCGAAGGCTTACGCTTGGTCGCAGATTCCGTGGCACAACAGCGCCAGGTCGCCAGCAAGGTCATGCTGTTCCATCCAGTTTCACTAGCCGCGTACTTTGTGGTTGTGGCTTTTGCTGCGCAGTACATGCTACGCTGGTACGAGGACAAAACGATGTTGGCTACAACCATTGGAGGCATCACTATGACTTTCCTCATCTTCATTCGATGGATGACCGGTGGCTACATTGGTATGGCCGAGGATATCAACATGGATTGGCTGGGCGATGATAGGCTCATCGTGGTGAAGTGGGGTGAGGACGTCATCGGATCCTTGGTATTGGGTTGGGCCGATAATGATGCCGCGAAGAAGCGAGGCAGGAGAAGGCGAGGCAAGGCCGTTGTACGCGCTTGGACTGTAAAGTTGAAGTATCGCGGCAAGGGTGTTGGTGGGGGCTTGTTGGAGGAGGCTGTCAAGGTGGCAGGAGAGCGAGGCGCAGATGGTATTATCTTTGATGCCGACCATGCCAGTAAGTTCACGTCTACTCATATCCTCAGGTCATCACTAACAGAACATCAGACTCAAAGCGTATCCTCCCTGCCATCTTCAACGGTTACCTCAATAAGCAAGACGCCAAGGCCGAGAAGGCTCTACAAAAAGTTGCGGACGCGAAGGGCAACTTCCGCCAGCGTCAGAGCTCGCCCACTTGGGGCAGCAGGTAGACACATACCACAATTTTTTTATTTCAGGGCAGCAGATGGGGTGGTGTTTTGCTTTCATTTTGGCGCGGCGACGAGTTTTCTACTGGATGATACCCCATTCCTCTCGTTGATGATACCCCAAACGATCGTTATCGTTGCTAGCATCAAGCTTTCCGTACTTGCTTTCCCATGTTACCGTTTCGGTATCGAGATCTTGTCGTTATCGTCATCATACATATCATCAGAGTCATAATAGACGATTACAGAGTAGTCTTATTGGTAGATCACAATGACAGTGTCTAGCAGTTCTAGTTGCATAGCGGCCAACTCCGGTGACATGATGGCTTGCATCCCGCTTGAAGCTCATAGATTAATATTCACTGATACGGCCGCATACCCGGCTGTTCCGCACACCATCCTCAAACTCTGTGGTTGTAAGCCGGGAAGCCCTTATCGCTACATGTTTCCTGATCCATAGACATGTGGGAAGACAAGCCGCATGTACTGATAACGATGCATTAACCTTTCGATATCAACACCTTGGCGTCAGATTCCGGTTCGCTGGTAGATTTGCCCCGCGTTGCTCGCTACTGCCCCTCCATGTACAAGGGGAGATTAGGCTTTCCAGGCTTTCCGTCAATGTTGCATGATGCATGCCAAGTATGTACATGCGGAACCGTAGGCGATGGCTTAGCAACGCCGATCTGTAGGGAAGTTGGATTCTGTACTGATAGCGTTCCAGACTCTTCACGGGAGAGAAGGCACCACCGCCGTTACTGGTCAACCTGCCTCTCTCGCTCTTTTGTCGGTTTGCATGTGAAGTTGCAAGCTGACACACCGAACCGCCGTGCAAGGCTGCACAAGAGCAGTTTCGGACTCCGAGTCTAATCGGATTCAACGCGCGGCTGCACCGGCCTCTGTGTCACCGTCTACTGAACTCGTTGGGTATTCCTCGCGTAGCTGCAATATGACTTTCTGTGGCACAGTCAGTATATTTAGTACGCGGGCCAAAAAAGCCTCAACTTCAAAGCGACAGTGCGAACCGCGCGCGAGGCGATCTGCTGTTACACCTTGCTGTGCCGCAGAGCTACGTACCGCTAATGCCTCCGGGTTCGCGCCGTTCTCGATGAGCGACACGCAGTAAGACAGTTGTTGCCGATCAAGGTGGGTGTTCTGGGGCTTATGTCAGATGTTGGGCGCTTCAATAAGGCGCGGTGTTTCGTACTAGCAATGTTGCGATTTCATGAAGAATATCGATGACTTCGCGAGCGGCCTTTCGGCGGGCGTCGGCTGAGGTTTGCTCGGCGGCTGGCATCGTCGGTGTACTGTGTAGGTCTGGATTTCTCTGAGATAAGACGAGTCTGGAGTTGCGGGGTTTGTTGTTTGTTTACAGTCTGTGGATTTACGCAGTTCAAGTCGCGTGTAGGAAAGCACCCCACACGCGGCGCGTTCCGCACGTGAGCTCCTTGGCGCATCTTGCCCCTCCAGGTACTCGATCGGAAAGTCGGTCCTCACAGCACAATTCCTTCACACCAAGATGGTGTTCTGACATCACCATCATTATGACGACAGATGGCCCACTGGTGCTCAAAGACACTACGACAGAGCTACATAATGAGAGCTCGCGTGCTTGTTGGCAATACTGTCTTGCTCGCACATACCTAGGTAGCTTCATTTGACTATCTGAACAACTCCAAGTCTTTCAGCATCCACAAACTTCAAATCAGTTCTTTCAGTCATATCCAGATCAGACATCATGGCACCAGACCCGCACCAAGGAGGCCGTCTAGAAGACATGGCTGCAGAGGGCACGACCATTCCTGGCGATGCTGGCAAAATGAACGTGGTAAGTGTGGATATCGGATCCAGGTATCATATGCTTCTGTGGAGTACAATATAACTAACCAAGATTCAGGTTTCACCCTCTGACCACCCAGATCAGACTCACACGAATCTCGCACATGCAGCAGATAACGCTTTCGACATACCGCGCAGTGTGAACGACCGCGGACAAACAGGCGAAGTCATAACTGGTACTGGCGACCAGCTACCGTCAAGTATTGAGAAGAAGAACCTGGATGACGCGGGCTTCGACCCAAGGGCAAAGGGTCACGACCAGTACGCGAAGCATGCTCGGCAGGATAATCCTATGGACAGCTTGAAGCATGGAGCTGGTAGTCATGACGTGGAGGCTGCGCCTGGTGAAGAGGAAGAGAGTCAGGAGGCGCTTCTGAACAAGAGAGGAGCAAAGTAGGTGATGCAAGACGCCGGACTTCCTGTATATACTGTATGACTTTACGACCGAACAAGGAGCCAAGAGGCGCGAATTAAACAATTCGAGAAATTACATGCTCACGTCCGAGCTGTGATGATTGTGATGTGTTGCATGCTCCGGACCCTTTAAGTACCTAGGGTTGTGGATACCCCGCTAGACCCCACACGTGCCTTCCATTTTCACGATCCCGGCAACCTTCTCACCTGCTACTTGATCCAGACACTTGAGATCAAGCGTTCCTGTCCGCAAAATGGTGTACTACTTCTCGTCCAACACGGTGTCGCCGTCGGCCTTCATCTACGTCGGCAAAGACAAGGTTGAGAGTATGTGATTTCTGACCTGCCAGCGTACTCTCAGTGGTTCACGCAACTACAACCGCACATACTGATCGCCTCAACAGACGAAGAGCTTATCAAATACGGATGGGACGAAGATGTCTGGTTTCACGCCGACAATCTCTCTTCGGCCCACATCTACGTCCGGCTACCCGAGGGCGAAGATTGGGAAAACATGAGCAAAGAGTTGCTGGTGGACTGCGCGCAACTTACCAAGGCGAACAGTATTGAGGGCAATAAGAAAGATAACGTTACGATTGTGTATACGCCTTGGAGCAACCTGAAGAAAGATGGGAGTATGGCTGTAGGTCAAGTTGGGTTCAAGGATCAGCGAAAGGTAAGCGCATTGCCATGAGGCACAAAACACTTGCGTCACGTCCTTTGGCGCGACTGCAACTTATTGCTCGGTTTGCTGATAGCATCTTAGGTGAAGCGCATACATGTGGAGCAGCGAGAAAATCCTATTGTCAACCGTCTTAACAAAACAAAAGTTGAGAAGTACCCCGACCTAAGAGAGGAGCGAGAAGCAAGGCGGGCGGAGTTGAGGAAGCGAGATCAGAGTGCTCTGCAAGCCAAGGTATGTGTATTCCCCAAATCTCGTTATCCTGCTTTGTTCTGCATGCACTATGTTCGCATGATCCCCTTTTCCAACTACGTCCGTTCTCATGATCTATCCTGTCATTTACAATTTCTCCGACACTCTACATTTCCTACCACGGGTGTTCTGATCCAGACGCACTGTTTCGGTTCGCATACGCGACTTCGACTCGCGACTAATGATTTATAGCGCAAAGAAGAGGCCCGTATAGCCAAGGAGCGCAAGGAGCTTGCGTGGCGGAGAGATCATGCCTACGACGATGTCATGACAGAGGAGAGTCTGGAGCAAAACTCCAACGAGAACCGCGATGAGAACTTCCTCGACGACTTCATGTGAGATCTTTACTCGCATTTGTGTATCCCGCAGATGACGTGGGCACCACAGTAGCAATGGCGTCGGCATAGCGGGGTCGCTTCAACTGGGGTCGCGAACAGTCATGGCTGGAAGGCATAGGCCCATGCTCTCGTTCAACATGCGGATATTATGGTTGAAGGTATCGTACGCGGTGGTCTTGACCTCGAGGTCCTCACGCGTCCTGAAAGAGTCAGCTGCATGGCATTGAAGACGGATGAGAACTGGCTACATACATGGCGTTTTTCGGGTTGTGCTTATTGCGACCTCCATGATTCTGTACCCACCATACGAACAGCAGATTCTTCACTATCTTGTGTTCGAGACCATTCTGCCTAGTCGCATACTGCAGGAACTCGAGCGTGTTCTGTATCCTCTGTGGTTCGTAATCGGTCGCGGAGCCTTTACGAAAGGCTAGGCGAATGCGGTCGCGCAATGTATATCGAGCCGGCTTCGAGAACTGGATAGCTCTGAGACTGTGCCGGTATAGGTGCCTATACGCGTGAAGAACTGCTTGCTGTGACATGTTCTGGAGCCCAAGCACAGCACTTCACGCTGTGACCTCGGATGCTGGGTCGGCGGAAGGTAACGCCGACGCGCGCAGCCGCCACCTGCGCTCCCAGTGCCAACCTCGCCAACTCTTCAACACCACAACACGTACCACCCAACACCCCGCCTGTGCCTTTGCATCGACCGGGGCTTGTAGATACGCAATCCGGATTCGTTCTGGACAATTGCACGACATCGTGACTGCTGCGCTTACCGTATTAATCGCTGAACACGCCGTGTCAGGCCACATAGGGTGCTCACTCATCCAGTAGCGACTCATATTGCCCTGGTCCGCTGTGGGATCTATGAACATCATCTGCATACCAGAGCCATGACCAGAGTATATCATCCGCGTGCGCAACAGCCGCCCCAGCGCGGCAGTACGCTTGATCAGTCGCGAGCCGCCGTCAAGAAGAAGAAGCCGTACAAGATTCTGCTAGAAGCGGTTACCCAAGAGAAGAAGAAGCTACATTCCATTGTCCGTCGGCGACGCGATTTCATCGTCACATAACACCACTGACTGTAGAATAGCTGACATACGCGTCGAACGCCCCCACTGGCTTCGGTTTCATCCCAGCTGGACACCCCGAATTCACAGAATGGTGTAAAGAGCAGTGTCGACAGCGCAACCTTGACGTACACATCGTCTCTGTGAGCATCCGGTCCCTCCCAAGCCAACAGGTCATCCACTGACAGCGTCGCAGGCCAAGCCGAAGAACAAAACCCACTCCGATCCCGAGAAGCTATCCCACCACGTCCACCGAGTCGGACACCACTTTCCTCTCACCATCATCGAACTGGCCTGCAACAAGTTCGGATATCTCTACGATGACAGACGCGGCCTGCGGAAGGACAAAGAAGGTGACAGAACCAACTGGATAGCCCAAGAGTTTGAAGACTACTCTTCGCGGCAAGTACAACGAGGGCATCCCGCCACTGAGAAGGAGACCAAGGGTTACATCCACGGCGCCGTTCGCGAGATGTTTCCCAAGATACCAGAGGCAGATCTACAAGCCATTGTTTCTCATGCGTTTGAGGAGGGAACTAACCGGGTAGGTAATGCTAAGGAGCTTTCGTTGGCTCGTAGGGTGCAACTCGCAGTTGTCGCGCATATCCGCCACACATACACAGACTACGATAAGCTGCTCAAGACTGACGGCTGGTCGGAAGCCCGTGGCCAAGTCGAGAAAGTCTCTCTTGCGAAACTCAAAGAGTGGCGAGATGAAGACGGAAAGCAAAGCAACGAACTTGAGGAAACCTTCCGTGAAGTCATTGTTCTTGACGATGATGATGAAGCTAGCAGCGATGAAGGCTCCATGGCCACGCCTGATGAGCGCGAGCAAAGCATGGAAATTGTTTCCAGTCGTGCTACTGCGCGCGATCTACAGCCGGAACTACATGCTAACTACCCGAGTGGGGATGTCCGCAACATGAGACCTTCATCAAGAAGAACCATTGTCCTTCCGCGCTATGCTCCTCCACCGCCACCTGTATTATCTGGCACCTCACGTTTCCAGTCACCCATGCAGCAGCCTTTCCAATCAGTGCGAACAAGGACAAACGATCCGTAAGTGCATACGACAGCGGACATCGAATTCAATACTCACGACTGTAGGCGAGCGAGACCAGCCGAGGCTGGCCAGAGTGTGAGGAACGCACAGCCGATCGTGCGTGAGATCAACGGCCAACTATACCAAGTGAGTGTTCGACAACCAAGCTCTATGAGCGAGAGAAAACGGTATCCTAGTCCTTGGCTTCTTCTTGAGCTAACACGCATAGCTACAACCCATCAAGGAAGATCGTGGTGCGTCGAGGTTACAGTATAACGACCCTCCTTTGCACGCTGCGCCTCGTCGCGTACAGGAAGGATATGTTCAGCCTCCATCACCTCGTCACAGTGCCTTTGACAGACCACTAGCGCACCCAAGGCGCCCATCAGACCAAGATGTTGTGCTCCCTTCTGTTGAGCCTGAGACAGTCGATTTGACATCACCACAACATATTGCAACTTCTCAACAGCCTGCCCGAAACCATAACGCGAATCCGAACAGACCATATAACGAGCTGCAATCGCCAAAGCGAAAAGCGCTCCCTTCTTTTGCGGATGACAGACAGTCTCAGGCCGAGCAACACGCCAAGCGTCTAAGGCCCGTATACCGTGAGGAAGCTCGCCCCCGGACTTACGGAGGTGATCAAGCAGGATTCCACATGAGCCAGCGCATGGCGCCCAATTATGGGCCAAGGCCACCGCCGCCTAGAGAGCAAGTTATTGATCTGACCACCAGTCCTTACCAGCCACCTTCTAGTGGTGGTAGAGGTTACGATGTCTCTGCACGCCCGCTTGCGCCTGCTGATCCTCGTGGATATGCATATGCTTCTGGACCGTCTCACCGAATGCATGCGCATGAAGTGAGAGGTGCACAGTATGATGTACACCCTGTTGATCCGTCTCGTGCTTACGTGCCTGACAATAGGATGTATGAGAGGCGCGTCCAGCCGAACCAGGACTACATTCCGCTCCGAGAGGATCAGCAGCCACGACGTCTTGAAGATGAGAGTGTGCGATACTTGAGGAGCGGTGTACGTTATGGCGGATGATTGCTTTGACATGCATTGGTAGCAGGACGGGCGGAGTTATGCGGTTTTCACTACGGACGATACCCTTTTCCTTCTGTTTATTGCGTTCCCGGAGTCACGCATCCTGGAGATTACCGGTTCCAGTCACTCGCATGTCGCGTGTCGTATGATCTGGTTGCAAACTCCGCGCATACTATTGTGAATAGCGAAGCGGATATTGTGCATTGGAGATCATGGTTGGGCGATTGCCACATATCAGCATGACGACAGCAGGTGTTTGTCAGCTATGGATGGATAGCAACAGCTACTGGTTGAAAGTAGATGCACGATTGAGAATATCCATGTATGATAATACGAAGTCACCAAAGACGTGCGCAGAATCAACAAAATTACGAAGATACTACCTCCTAACTTGAGTGAATGTTTGCATTTGTCTACATGCTTGATCCAAGCAACTACTTATGCATCTGCGCATACTTCTCCATAACGCGCTCAACCACTTTCCTAACCTCAGCAGCATCTAACTTTTCTTTCCGGTCCGGTGTGTATACGCCGTTTACCTCTTGCTCGATGTCTGTAAGCTGCGTGTACACGAACCCACAGCAATGCCCTCCGTCTACAATCCCGTCCATCATCTTTTCGATGCGCTTGAGCAAATCCTTGGGATCAGTAGCAGTGGTGTAACCCCAGTCTCTCTTCCTATTCTCTTCACCCGCAGCCGATCGCGCAATGTTGACGCCACCGAATTCGGTGCAAATGACAGGTGCACCAGGAGTATGTTTCGACCCAGGATCCGACAAGCTTTCGATAGGTGCAAGGAAGGTCGGTCGGTTCGACTGCTTCTTCATGATGCCATCCAGCGTCGAGCAAGTCTTTGTAAGTTCATCCGCGTCTGCGTAGTCATGGAACGTCGTCAGGTCAGTGATGACATGTTCCCAGCCACAGTTGTCATTGATGGGTCTTGTCGAATCCAGCACTTTGGTCGCATAGTACAAGCTCCTGATATGGTCTCTCTGCTGCTTGCTGGTATGCAGATCAGTGTACGCCCACGACTCATTAACTGGCGTCCAAGCTACGACACAGGGGTGGTTTCGATCGCGCAAGACCGCTTCCCGCCACTCTTGATCCATGCGCTCTACATACGCCTCGGAGAATGCGTATGCGTTTGCCATTTCGCCCCAGACTAGCAGTCCGAGGCGGTCCGCCCAGTAGTGGAACAGTGGGTCTTCGACCTTTTGGTGCTTGCGGCATCCGTTGAATCCCATCTTCTTGGTCAACTCAATGTCTAGCTTCAGTGCGTCGGAGGATGGAGGTGTCATGAAGGTCTCGGGCCAGTAGCCTTGGTCGAGGAAGAGCGCTTGGAAGTATGGCCGGTTATTGAGCCGGAAGGTGGAGTTGTCCCAGTGGAGAGAACGCATTCCGGTTGTAGTGTGGACTTGGTCGATGACTTTGTCTTCATTGTCGTAGAGGCGGATAGTCAGATCGTATAGAGTGGGCTCCTCCGGAGACCAGAGGGCTAGGTTGTTGAGCCATGCTGTCGCGTCAGAAAGTGGGGCAGTGGATGTAAGAGGCAGCTGTGAAGTCTGGGAGTCGGAAAGTCGCATGTTGGTGCTCAAGGAAGCAGTGTCTGAGTCTCTTGGAAGAGCAACCTTCTCTGTCTTGCTGACGGGCACACCTGCCAGGCTGGCTTCGAGCTCTACGCTGTATGCATGTCCAGCAGGCCTTCCTATGATTTTGATGCTAGCTTCCAGCTTGCCGCTCTCGATATCATTGCTCTTGAATAGCGTGCCCGCGCTTGCATCTCCAATCGCCACAACAGGCACTGATTCAAGCCACACGCTTTGCCAGATACCGCCACTGGGCGTGTAGAAGATACTCTCTGGCTGAGCCTTCCAGTACTGCTTTCCTCGCGGTTGTATCAGATCGTGTGCAGAATCAAATACGCGGATGGTGAGTCTTTGGGCCTTCTCCTCCGTGAAGGCATCCGTGATATCGATGTCAAAAGGCACATGCCCACCGCGATGGCCACCAAAGAAGCGCCCATTAAGCCAGATCTTGGCTTCGTAGTCGACGGCTCCGAATCTGAGCACCACACGGTTTCCAGCCGCCTTCTCGTCCATAGTTCTCGGGTCTGCAATGACCCTCTCGTACCACAGTACCTCATGCACGCCCTTCTCCTCGATGCCAGAGGCAGGGCATTGAAATACGTACGGAACCTGAATGTTCCTCTTCTCATGTACAGTATGTTCATTCTTGAACGCATTACCTTGTAGCAGCTCTTGGGTTCCGGCGGCTATCTTGGCTGTGATGCTGTGCGCTTCGGTGTTCTCGGCGCTATTGGTGTTGGTGGGGTTCACGGTGATCTTGTCCGGGAGAGAGGTTAAATGCCATCCTTGGGTCAAGCCAACATCGTTGTCGTCAAAGAGGAATGACCATGGGCCGTTGAGGGGTGTCCATGTTAGGTCTTCGCGAAGGAAGTCGGGACGGGGGTAGGAAGGTGGGGCTGTTGGTGGCATGCTGATTTCGTGGAACTTGAGAATATATGGGATGTTATGTTGGGAGAAAGCAAGCTGTTATGAATGGAGACGTGTTATTAAAAGTTAGCATTCACGTGAACTTGATGCAGCGTGGTGGAGGTGTGGAGAGAATACTGGGTCGAGTGAGCACCAACCCGATTGGGACTAGACTGGTATGGGTACATCATCGCTTTGGATCGTTGCCTTTCCTCTTTCCATCTCCTACAGAACGCCGTTCATCAACACAAACACCGCGACAAAACAGGTACATCAACCTAGTCGCGTATCACGTCAATAAAGCCAGTACTACTGGCTGTTCTTCGCTCCATGCTGTGCGCTAGGCTCATTGTATCCTCCAGTCAGAACCTCCATACTCGAGTTGGCGCTTATATTGAGCGCAGTGTTACGGATCTGGTGTGGATGCTCGATGTACACAACAGATCCATCAGGACGAGTGTAATACCCTGACGATACTGACCAAGGGCTCTGAGGCAACACCGTAGTGGGTTCTGAATGCTCGATTAATAAAAGACTCATAGCAATTTGAGGGGAAGACGATAACTTACGAGGCATGCTGCCCAGAAATGCGTTGATATCAGCAGCTGAACTTCCATCGCTTCCACTCGCAGAGACACGTGCGCCGGTAGGCTTTACGGAAGACGAAGTATTAGGAGCCATTGTATGATACGAGATAGTGATGGAAGAGGGTTCGATATCTCTGGAAGGGTGCTCGATTGCTTGTGTTTGCATCGCTCTGGCTTGCGAAGACACGGTCTCTATATATATATTTGACTTTTGGTAACTTCTCTCCCTCACAGTTTGGGGGTCTCTGCCACGAGGTCATTAACTAAAGGGTCTCACTAGAAATAGCATCGTGGCACCTGTTCTAAGGCTCGGACTACGGTATAGTGGGTTTTACTCAGGGTCTCATCTACTCCCTATGCCGTTGAAGCTATGCTTTCAGGAGAATAGAACAAGGCGACAGCAGTATAAAAGTATAACTAATTACATAGCGAGGGTCTCATTGTCTTTGAACTACAGTAAGTGATCTGAACCTGATTGGGCTAAGCTGGCCATACTGAGCCGATGCTGCTGGGCCTCTTTTCACCGCCAAGGAGAAGTCAACTTCTGACTTAGGTATCCCTAGGAGTAAAATCGGGGGTCTCATCTACTGGACTTGGCGGATGACGCTCGCTGCGGTCGAGGCTGTCAACTGCGCACGCACGCACCCCTAACAAGGCTGGAAACCATACTCAACGCTGAAAACTACATCCGTCTCCGTGCATTACATGCTCGACTACGATCGCAGTGGAAGCGTGCGCTGAGACCTTACTCGCAGTCATGGCTGTCACTGTAGACATCGCTCAGGCAGCCAACCGGGCTACAGGTCAAAGATAACGCCCTCGTATTTTTTTTCTCCCAGCGTACGTATGGCCATTAGGGGCGTGCTGATCAGATGTTTAAAAGGGCCTTCAGATATGCACATGGCCGAAGAGTAACTGTCCCCGTCCTCCTAACTCGATGTGCAGGTCAACGAGGTCAGAACACGCGCCTGAGCATGAAGAAGCGGTGTAATTGTGGCGTCTATACTCCGGAGTCTAAGACTGTTACAGTAGATTGGGCTAGGGAAAGGCAATCATACAAGCTCTACGACGGACGTCGGGAGACACCACCTGGGCAGCCACGTTACAGGGAACCGACCGATGTTGAAGCGCCAGAAGCAAAGAGAAGCGACAAGATGATGCTAGCGAGGGGGTCTCATTGAACCCAACGAGATATGATTGGACCGCAGCCAAAGGCTGAAGATGGAGGCGGGGGTCTCAGAATATGGCGTGAGGCTGAGGTGAAGGACTTGGCGATCGGCAGAAGCTGCGCCCGCTGCGCCCGCTGAGCCCGCTGAGACCCCCTTGCATCCTCGACCCCACCTTATGCAGCCCAATCTTTATCTATAAAGGCCTTCGGCAACCCGCATTTTACGACACCAAGACCAAACCGTATTTAGGCTTAAGGCCATCCCTCGTTGGGACTGTATCCAAAGTCGCTGACAGATCTTTGTCTCAACTCCGGTAAGCATCTGTACCTCTTACCCGCGTAGTTTGTGCTTCAACGTGTGACTTACAATTATCAGTATCGAAGGTTTCTCTAAAATCCACGTAGCGCGAGGCTACCGTCTCGCGCTGCCCCAATCCCGACAGACCACTATGATCATCTGAACTACTGTTCCCGGCTCCTCCAACGATTTCCAGACGAACTTCTCTCGGCATATCAATTAGAATCGAGCAATCTAGGCTACGACCATGCTATCGAGCGCTTCAATTCTCCAAATTTTCCGTCTATGAGTGATCGCTCCGCGATGCCATCACCTTGTGTCACTACAACACGACAACCTCTCATGGTAGATCTCGTCAAGAACCGGTCAAATCAGACCACACCGTCTATCAGCGTCTCTCCATCGTCAGCATCTTCTGCCACAGCAAGCGAAAACGGTCGACATGCGGACCAGACGCACAAGAAGCACAAGTGCAATCGCTGCTCAGCTGGTTACGACCATCGGAAGAATCTACGCGAACATATGCAAACGAAGCATCAGCGTATACGATACTTCTGCGACGTGGAAGGCTGCAACAAGAGTGTGGCACAGAAAAAGAACCTTGCACGACACAAGACTGGCAAACATGGGGTTACGATGAAGCTATAGACGCAAAACGGCTACGCACTGTACGAGAGGAGTCATGGAGACTAGGAGAAGAGGTAGCATCCAACGGGCCCTTAACCAACCATTTTCTTTTGTCACGCTCTTATTTGGTGTCCCGTTTGGTGTGAGTGCGGAAGTCGCATCCGCATCTCGTGAGCTGAGGAAGTTCGATGATCTTATTCAATTTCGTAGCCATGTCAGGAACATGATATTATCTATTTCGCGGTTAATCTGGCAATCTAATTATCTCAGCTAGATAAACACTCATTCAAAGCAACGATTATTTAAAGTATATTAAGATGCATGCACATATGATCATCGAATTCCGATACCTCCATGGTTCTAAATGCACGTAAGAGGGAGGACACCAAGAATTACAACTCACATCTAGAGTCTCCAAAGTGTCAGACGGCGTCAATGGAATAGAGTTCTGGAGTAACGAGTACATGACGGATGAGAAGTCATATAGTTCTTATGAATGGAGAGTGCCCTAGTGAATTTCATGACACGGTCGACTGGCACATGTAGTTTACCGACCCACGCGAGATCTTTCTCGCTTCGCGTACATGCGATCAGAGCCTGAAAACGACCAGGCTCCTCAAACCACAACCTCCTTCTTCATTCTCCACATTACATGAACATAGTGTTCATATTTGGTGTATCCGTAGTATAATTCATTCTCCTCCGCCGACTCCTACAAAGCCAGTCCCACAGCCTGGGGGGCTATTCCTCGTTAGCTTCATGCTATTTCCTTGGAGATGGCTGTCAACTTACCAACATAAGAAGGTTCGACAACGTTTTTGCCAGTGACCCTCTTAATATCCTCAAATACGACATCCATAGGAAGAAACATTCCTTGTCCAGTACTCGTCACTCCGAAGAGTAGTCCAAGCTGCGTGCCTGATTCTTCGTGCAGTACTACACTGCCATTGTCACCAAACTCGCAGAAGTCATTCCTCTCGTCATTACTAACCACACCAAAACACGCTCCCACGTTCTTCGCATCCATGCCATAGGCACCCGAAAGCTCCTCGTCTGCATCAGGGTTGACGATGACCATACAAGCGTTAACGATGCCGGCCGTCCAGCCACTCGTGCGCCCGTATTTGGCAACATGCACTTCTTCTTTGTTGACATTGAAGGTTGACCATTTCCTGCACCGCTGCTGTGGGACAAGTTTCGTCTTGGTAGAGTAAACATCAGGCAGACTGTTGGTAACGTCGCGTGTTTTTGTGTCGTCCATACGAACCAACGCCCAGTCAAGTAGAAAAACGATCGTGGGCTGCAACGCCTTCATCTTGTCTTTCCCTGGGCCGGTGTTGGGATCTGATGCGTACTTGTTGGCCTCGATAGTTCGGCGACCTGAGCCTGCGTAGACGTAGCCAATACGTCGGTCGAAGCTTTCGCATTCCTTGTACTCTTCATCCTTCTTTTCGTGCAACATCTTGCATTCCACATCTCCATCAGCAGCGTAAGTACGGTAAAGTGTGATCTGCTCTTGCAGCAATTTGAGGTAGCCGTGATGGTCGAACGTCGCTGGGGATACCATGGGTTGAGGTATGTTGGCCAGGATACTGTTATTAATACCTAGAGCCTTGTTGGTCGTGTTGGAGACGACTGCGCAAGGGTCAGTTTGTATCTTATTAGTTGATAATGAGTTATTACCGTTGTCAAGTCGTGCATCGCGGACGCCGTGCCAGCTCGTTACTCCGCATCGAATGCCGCCGGACAGGGTCACAGATCCACCCAAGGTACTGCAACCTGTTTCATCACCCGATATTCCAAGAGAGGATCCCATATCGGCTTTTTTGACGTAGGATGAGCCGTTGACGTTGTCGGTCAAGCTATTTCGCCTCTTCGCCCCCAGCATCGTCATCCCACACAATATTTCGATGCCAAAACTTGGAGCTCTCTTGGCAATCTCAGCCATCATCGAAGGTACCACGATATCGAACCATTTTGGATTGCGCGCAGTTGGTGTAGTGATGACAATTGTTGGTGGACACTCCTTGCGATCGTCGATCAATCCTCGGCGAAGAATCTCCACTGAAAGCCATTCATGCTTGCTTAGCAAAGACATGACATCTGAAGATATGGCTTCCCATTGCTGGCGTATTTTGTACTCGTCATGGCGGATGGGGAAAGACATCATGCCGGAGGGGTGTCTTGCTCGGTAGTCGATGCACTCAATTTGGACATCCTCCGTCCAGGAATTATCGCGGAAGCTAGCTCTAATCCTGATGATAGCATCTTCAATCTCATGACGAGCGTGCTTTAGCATGTCGACCCGTATAAAGAGCGTCAAATGCGCAATGTTGTCGTTCTCCTCAGTAGCATCCCGAGGGATTCGAAACGCGAAGTAGAACGCGGTAGTCCCCCTGAGCAAGCCATGTGCTATGAGAATATCCTGAACATCATGCAGTATCTGATATGAGCCTGGTATCATCCATCTCGCATCTATGTCGGTGTCCATCGGCAGAGGTGCAAGTGTCGGCCAGCCCATACGATATGGGACGTGTCCGGGGTCCATCTCTTTGCGAATCTCTTCGTCGGTACGAGATGTATAGCGCCTGCGTTGAGACATGGTGGGAAGTAGTCGATGAGTTAATCTAGTTCTTAGGAGATGGTCGCGGCCTAGGTATGCAGTAAACTGCTTTTGCCTCGTACGAAGAAGAAGTTCGATAGGCTGGCTGGAGTCTACGTTGATATTTAACTGTTGGTTTACAAGATCTCAAAGGCGATGTAGCTACCTAGGCTTTCTGTGAAGATGTTTTCTGTGGGACGTTAATGTTCAATGTTCGCCAAATGGTGTACTGGGCGCGGTGGTAGAAGCTGTGAAAAACAGAGTATTGGCCCGAGGAAGAAAAATTTGGCCCAAGCCAGTGTGTACCATGGTCACACAACCTGCGATGTCGTATTGATCATTCACATATTTTGAACTCGAATAAAGTACTGGACCGAGGATTCGGCGCGAGCCATTACATCATGAACCGACTGTGGTACGTGTCAACCTCATAGAGACCTGTCACCCTTCACGGATATCTGGTCAGAGACCAACAACGACAAGGCTCCCAGGCTTCCCACATGGTATCGAGACTGCTACCTTCCCTTCCCGCATCGCGTCTTTATTCTCGATATGTCGGTCATCCACTCATCAGTTTCCTGGCCCATATCCACAAGATAGCGGATAGCTACTTCCAAATCTAGCCTCGAATCGAAGGTCCCGGCCGTATCGTAGGTATCCGGCATAGTACCAATCGACCGCACCAGGACCACGCAGGCGTTTTACACCTCTGTGCCTGCCGCGATAATTCCCCGGTCCCATCGGCTCGTAGCCCAAGTCTACATCAAACTAAGAGAGAGAAAATTAGCATGTGTCACTAAATAGTTCTAGCCTCGTGAGGAGACGAGAAACATGTCGATATTCGCAGGCCTGCAGCATCATTGTGTAGTAACAGCTCAGTAATATTTTGGGGGTATCTAGTAGGTAAATGGGAAGATAGATGTTCAATGGCCAAGTCGGATAATAATTGTGGTGCGAGAAGCTCTTTCGCGCAACAGCCAGTGTTATACGCGCGAAATCCACTTGCTCAACTCACTGATGGCTCGTCAGCCTGGTCGTCGGAGTCGTCGGATATCTCGATGAGGTCTTCGGCGTCGCGCCTAGGCCTCTTCTTGCTAGGTTTGCCGCCTGAGCCGACGGCGTCGAGGAACTCGTTGTTGTCGATCTTGGACTGAAGTTTGGGCGCGGATGCAACGTCTGCGAGGAAGAGGCGGTCGTTGTACGCATCGAAGGCTCGCTCGTCCTACAGCATGATTAGCTCGTCACCAGCGAGATGGAGTGCAAGACGGAAGGACGTACGTTCTCGTCGTAGTAGTCGAGTCTCAGCCACTGCTCTTGGTTGGTCGACTTCATGAAGGCCTGCGTCAGCTCTGCGGCAGTGTCACCACCCGTCTTCTTGACTTGGGCGAGGAAGGCCTTTGGTTCAGCGACCTTGGCGCCTTCCTGTGACTCCTTCTCGCGGCGGCGCTGGACAGCTTCTAGCTGGGCAGAGGCGTCGATCTGGTGGAACTGTGTGCGGAGCTGGACAAGACCGTTGCAGCGTGTGAGGTGGAGTTCGTCTGCGCCGAGTCAGTCTTGAAGCGAGGGTTGTGGTCGTGCGCTACTTACTGTCGCGGAAGGTGCCGAGCATGTAGCTGGTGCCCTTGCCGTCGTCGGGCATGATCTGGCCACCGAACGTCTGGGTGTTGAGGACGTGGCCCTTCTCGTTGGCGTCCTCGAAGTGGGTGACGTACTCCTCAAAGTTGTCGTCGTCCTCGGTCGCAATGGGCGCTGCGGGGGCTCCTCCCTCGCCGGCGGCGCCAGGACGGTTGGTACTGCGCGGCATAGTGCGCTCAAAGCCGGACGCAATACCGAAGGCCTTCTGGCCAAAGCCCTTGGTCTTGCGCATGGCCTCGCCCCAGCGCACACCGGCGACGCGGTTGTAGTTGCGGTGGATGTTGACGGGCACGTCGACCTCAATGAAGCCCGACTCTTTCTTGAGGCGCAGCTGCGAGGGCTGGCTCTCGGTGGCCTTGGTGAAGGGCTGGTCGGGCGGGCGGTTCAGGTACTGCAGCACGTACAGCTGCTGCTCGGCCATCTCGGGGGTGATGTAGACGTCGTACTCGGCCACGACGGGGTCCTCGTCTTCGATATCCATGGCCGCTGAGTTGGCCATTGTGTTAGCGGAGTCTGGTTCGGTGTTGTGGAGAGCGAGGGCTGGACGTACAGGCCATTTTAAGTGGGCGCGTCGGGGCTGCAAGCAAAAAGAGTCGCGGTCACCCAAAGGTCCAAAAGTCCAAAAGTTCCAAAAGTCACGGCCGCCCCGCAACGCGAAGTCGCGTGGAGCCGCGGCCCGTGCAGCTCAATGACGGAATGCATCCGATGTCCCCAGCCCGGCAACCACGATAGTTCTGTTCTGTACTTTGAGCTATCCACAAGCTCTAACAGATATCGCCATGGCTTACATTGCACCTATCCACCGGCCAAGCAGCGTCCGGCATGCGCTCAAGCTCAACTTCCTCGCCCCGGAGGAGGATTGCCTCGTAGTCGCGTAAGCAGCCCGCGGGTACATGCATCACTATCTATACAATGCTAACACGATCGCAGCAAATCCAACAGACTCGAATTCTATACGCAGACGTCCGATGGATTGGCCCTCCAACATTCCAAAGCCATCTATGGCAAGGTCACTATGCTCCAGAAGCTCCGCCCAGCCCTATCACCGACCGACCACCTCTTCGTCGGAACCGATCGATACATGTACTTCACCCTGTCATGGAATCCCGAGAAGAAACAGCTACAAACGGAGAAATCATTCGCGAGCGTGGCCGACAATGCTGCAAGAGAGTCGCAAACGGGCGAGAGATGTCACATCGATCCAACGGGGCGATTCATGACTGTCGAAGTCTACGAGGGCATCGTGACCGTCATACCGCTAGTCCAAAGGGGAAAGAAGAGGAAGCAAGAGGCTGATATCGCCCACTTGGGAGACCCTCAACCAGTCAGACTACCCGAGATGTTCGTCCGCTCGTCTGCCTTCTTGCGTCCACGGTCTTTCGACGACAAGCCCAAGATGGCGCTACTATACGAAGACACACACTCCCAAGTCAAGCTGAAGTTACGGGAACTCACCTACGCCGGCGAAGAGGTGGACCTACAAGAAGGCGAGACCTGCAAGACCGAACTGGAGCTTGGCTCGAGCCACCTGATACCCGTCGAGGAGCCTTCCCACGGTCTGGTAGTTATTGGCGAAACATCCATCGGATACTACGACGACGAAAGTGGGGAAATCCAAACCGAGCCACTGGACGAGGCGACCATCTTTGTGGCTTGGGAACGCATTGACGCTCAGCGATTCGTGCTCGCCGATGACTACGGTCGCCTATACATGTTCATGTTGGTCTTGAGCAGCCAAGGCAAGGTCCAATCATGGAAGCTTGACGTAATCGGGGAGACATCTCGCGCATCCACGCTGGTATATCTCGATGCCGGGTATGTCTTTGTGGGATCGCATCAGGGCGACTCGCAAGTCATCAAGATTGCGGAAAAGTCGATGGAGGTCGTCCAGACATTCTCCAACATCGCGCCTATACTTGACTTCACAATCATGGATATGGGCAACAGATCTGGTGAAGGGCAAAGCAATGAATACTCTTCTGGTCAGGCGCGCATAGTAACCGGTAGTGGCGCATATCAAGACGGAAGTCTTCGGAGCGTTAGAAGCGGAGTTGGACTAGAGGATCTTGGTGTGTTGGGCGAAATGGAACAGATCTCTGATCTCTTCAGTCTGAAATCCGCCGCCTCTGCCCAGTATGAAGACACTTTACTAGTCAGCTTTGTCAACGAGTCGCGCATCTTCCGATTCGATCCACAAGGCGAGGTAGAAGAGGTGGACGAGTTTGCTTCACTCGCTTTGGATGAAACAACACTGACCGCTGCGAATATCTCGCAAGGGCGCGTCATACAGGTCACCAACGATAGAGCCCGAATCTGCGACCTGGACGGCGGTATGATAACGTCAGAATGGATGCCAATGGGTGGTCAGGCTATTACCGCGGCTTCCATCAACGACAGTCATGTTCTTGTGTCCCTGGGAGGCGTCACAATCGTTTCTCTGAGCATGGCGGACGGTCTACAGGTTGTCAAAGAGAAGAGGTTTGGTTCAGAAAGCCAAGTCGCCTGCATTGCCCTTCCGTCAGTCTCAAGCTCGATATGCTTTATTGGCTTTTGGAGCAACTCCCAACTCGCCATATGCTCTCTCGACACCCTGGAAGCGGTCAAGACAGTCCAGATCTCCGAAGACTCCGTTCCCCGCTCATTGCTACTGACTCAAATATTCCCGGAACAACCGCCATCCCTCTTTGCCGCATTAGCAGATGGCAATGTTGTCACATACGCCTATGATCCCTCAACACATGAGTTGTCCGGAAGGAAAAGTATCGTTCTAGGAACGCGCGAAGCCAGTTTCCGTGCCTTGCCTCGCGGCAACGGCCTGTTCAATGTCTTTGCAACATGCGAACACCCATCCTTGATCTACTCGTCAGAAGGCCGTCTTGTGTACTCCGCTGTCACAGCAGAGAAAGCGACG